CTACAATTATAATATAGTTATCATACAATTTCTGAATATCTTTTAATAATATAAAGTTGTAGGCAATGGTGAAGAGAGGAGATGGAGATTAATACTTATTAAAAACTGCAAAACATAGAGAATATAGGTAAATAAGTTTTTAATATAGTATAGCTAAGTAACAATCTCAACTCGTATTTGCTTTAAAGAAGTTCTTCCACTTTTTGACATGATTATTTAAAAGCATTACTCGGATATTGTCCCATATTGAAGATTAACTAGCAATTGATGTTATTTATAAAGGCATGTAAATAAGTAAAGAATAGAATATAAATTTAAAATGGTATTACCTCTTCTTCAACTAATATTATAAGCCTATAAACAACATCATATCTTGGATTTTTATACGGTATGATGCCTCTTCGATTTAGTAATACTTTTATCACCACGTCAAATGAGTAAGGCTCGATGATGTCTTTTAAGGGATTTTTACCTAACTATACTATAATAGAAATTTATTTATGGGGTATTTGTATCTATACCTGCTTTTTCGGTCACGTTTTAACTTGGATCCGCTTTGCAAAAAAAATTGCAAGCATACCCACGTTTTCGCGTAACTTCAGCATACGGGGCTAAAGTAGCAAAGACAATCACGCAAAACTTCAACATTCCAGTAGACGGGACTGAAGTAGCAACTGTGCTGAACCAAGTGTGCTAAAGTTTTTGTTTGTAATTGCTGAACTTAAGCATAGTAGCTGGAGTTTTGTTCTCTATTTGCTGAAGTTTTTGTTTGTAATTGCTGAAGTTTTTGTTTTTATAACTGGCGAGGCGAACTTCAGTTCTAGAGCTGAAGTTTTTGTTTTTGTAACTGGCGAACTTCAGCTCTAGAGCTGAAGTTTTTGTTTTTGTAACTGGCGAACTTCAGCTCTAGAGCTGAAGTTTTTGTTTTTGTAAATGGCGAACTGTAACTGGCGAACTTCAGCTCTAGAGTTGAAGTTTTTATTTTTTTAACTGGCGAACTTCAGATCTAGAGCTGGAGTTTTTATTTTGTAACTGGCGAACTTCAGCTCTAGAGCTGAAGTTTTTGTTTTTGTAGCTGACGAACTTCAGCTCTAGAGCTGAATTTTTTGTTTTTGTAGCTGACGAACTTCAGATCTAGAGCTGAAGTTTTTGTTTGTAACTGACGAACTTCAACTCTAGAGCTCTAGGGGGCATGTTGTACCCATACGAAGTAACTTAAAGCAACATTAACAGGAACCAAGAAACATCAACACATTATCAATCCAATCGACAACTGAAATTTCCAATTTTCGCCAGACCCAATTCACCAAACAACAATATAAAATTAATAATCAATTTTTCTTGTCCCATTTTCACATCAAAATTGTGCATAAGATTCAAGTTGCAAAACCAAGATAGAACTTTTACAGCAAAGGGTGTCGGCGGAAAGGAAAAAATGATTGAAAATTTATAGGACTCACTGGAGAAATAAGAAGAAGCAGATAGGGATGAACCTTACTTCTGGAAAAAGAAAGGATAGAGGAGAAGGAGGAGGAGAAAGGGAGCTGAAATTGTTTAAAAATTGAGTACAAGTTAAAACTTTAAAAAAATGGGTATAGGTTAAATAGGGGCGACCAAATAGGGCGCCCCGTGCAATTTTTACCTATTTATCACCTTTATTTAGGTTTTTTATTGATTACTTTGTATAGCTATATTTACAAGTTATATACAAGATCATAAAAAGGTAAAAAATTCAAGATCCCTTAATTTTAGCATGTCAGTTAAATGATACCAACCCTCNCACCAAAACTCTCTATTTCTTATTGATATAATATAGACGAAATTCAAAATATTGCTCTAGAATCAAGTTGTGGATAAGTTTTGAATTTTATTTTTTTTCTTTCTAAAATCTTTATTGTATGTGACTTGTGTATGATACATCAATACACAAAACAATAATCGATACAATACTAATATAATTATAATACGGTTATATCAGATTTTTAGTAGAGTTGTGATTGAACTTGAAGAAGATGAAGAACATAATTGTATCACAATTTTTCAAAAATATATCGCGATTGTTTTATAATTGTATATGTATTATAATTGTTGTAGAAATTATATTACAAATGTATGATAATTGTATATTTATTATATATTATTACGAGTAGTTGTGAGTTCGTGATGAATTTCACCATCTGTATCACAAATATATGATAATTGCATATTAATTTATTAGTATTGTATCAAGTATATTTTGGAAATTAATGTAATAGATACAAATTACGTACAATTATGATACAAATATGATGCAATTATGTATTAGAATTGATGTATCTGATAAAATTCAAAACTATCATACAGTTGTCATACAATTTTTAAATATTTCTTCATTTTCAGTGTTGTCCCGTCTCCTAGTAAAAAAACGATACAGTTGACGACCTTTTAATAATATAAAGTTGTCAGCAATGGTGGAAAGAGAGAAGATGGAGATTTTTGGCGTAGATTAAGAGATTTTGATGTAAAAAAAGGAGAGAGAAGAGGAAATGGAAAAAAAGGAAAGGATGTAATTAGATTCCTTAATTAAATGCACTAATAATGAGGTGGGAGCATTTTAAGGAGCAATATATATAATTTGTAAGAAAAACCTAGATACTTCTTAAAAACTACAAAATATAAAAAAATACAGGTAAATAAATTTCTAGAATAGTAATAGCTAGGTAAAAATTCCATCATTTTTAGAATAAAGCCCAAAAAACAAATAAAAGAGATTTTTTCCTAACTATACCATATATGAAACCTTATTACCTTAAATGTGCATAGTTTGTTAATTACCCGCCCAATCCACACTTTAACTACAATTTATATACCATTCGACTATTAGGCATTAAAAGGGAAGAATATTCCCTAAAACGCGTTAAAATTAAGGAGAGAATCTTGGTGTTAATTGATTCTACATTAAATTCAATTTTTAAAAAAGGAAAGGAGATTTCTCATCTGCGTATTTTTTTCCAGAACTACAATTCAAATTCTCGAGAAAAAAAAGAACGAACAATTCAAATTTTCGAGTTTCAACAACTCAAAGTTGAAAAAATATGTTCTTCCATATATTTTCCACCATTGATATCCACTAAAATGCTTGAAAGCTTTGAATTCAAATTTGGGTTTTCAAAAATCATTATTTGTTTGGATTGGGTGTTGTAAATAATTCGGAATATGTTTAGGAGTTTATATCTCAATTTTGAGGGGTTTTGGTGAAGATTAGACTTGGTTTTGACTAAATTTCAGATTGAAACTCGAAGAAAAAGAAGAAGAAGACATATTTCCTGTAATTGTAGATAAATTATAGATAAATTGTAGATTGGGAGGACTAAAACTTCTACAAATCTTCTACAATTATGTCGAAAATGCCAATTATGCTACAATTGAAATGAGAATTGGGATATTAAAATTCAATGTATCTAGTTTGTAGATATCTACAAATTTTCTACAAAAAATCTACAAATCAGTCTACGTATGTATAAAGCAGTATTGTTTTGAAGGGTATCTACAAAATTACTACATTTATAGTACAATTACACTATAATCTATGTTGAAAAAAAATGTTGACTACAAAATTTTCTCTTTATCTACAAATAAACTACAAATCAATTTTTTCAGGATTGATGAAGAACAAAACAACAGAAGATACAGAAGATGGGCCACCGGAGTTGCTTTTTATTCATGGTGGCCATACAAGTAAAATTTCTGACTTCTCATGGAACCCACGTGAAGACTGGGTCGTCGCTAGTGTTGCTGAAGACAATATACTACAAATATGGCAGATGGCGAAAAACATCTACCACGATGAAGATGATATACTCAATGGGTATCATCTCTGTATTTTTTGAGAAGAAGAAGGAATGGAGAAGAGAAAGAAATGGGAGGGGGAAAACGAATATGGTCAGATCTTAGGAATTAAGGGGAGAGAGAAACGTGGGATATATGGATACCTTTAATTAATGAATAAAAACTGCCCATTAATTAGACCCTTAATTAAGTATGGTATAAGATTGGTAATTTAGTATACGGGTTTGTAATTAAATAAAACTTTAAATATTGACGGTAATAAGGTTTCATATATGGTATAGATAGGTAAAAATTCCCAAATAATAAAATCCTCAGATCCCAAAGGTTGAGCCAAAACGAACAATTCTTTACCAGATGGGCTTGGACCGTGGCATTGTCTCTCTATCGAAACAAGTGAAAAAGCCCGGCCTCTACTTTTGCACTACAGATTCGGGTGAAATTAAAAAATATTCAGATTTACAAGTGATAATTTAAAAATAGCCACAGTTTTAAAAGTAATTGAATTTAGCCATTTTTTATGTAAAGATAAATTTGAACGAAAACACTGTTTAAAATCTGAAAAATATTCCAGCATAATATACTAGAGTTCCAGTATAATATACTGGACTTCCAACATATATACTGGAGTTCCAGTATAATATATTGTTTCAGCATAATATGCTGGAAGTTCATACACAAGTGCTCCAATCTCCAGTATATTATGCTGGAAGTTCATCCACAGGTGCACCAATCTCCAGTATATTATGCTGGAACTTTCTATGTTATACCAAAATAGTGGCTATTTTTCAATAATTTTACAAACTCTAGCTATTTTTCAATTACCAATCCGAAAACTGGCTAGTCCGTACTATTTTCACTACAGATTCTACACGATTTAACAAGTTAATTACCTAATTTAATTTGATCCACAAAATGAGTTGAAGTTTACATCATAAGCATGCTCATATGATGTCATAGCTAAACTGAGCCCAGACAAAACAATGATAACACCACGAAAAGGAACTTCAAAAATTCAGCTAAGTATGAAGGAGTGGTCCAAGTTTCATTGGTTCACATCCTATAGTGGGTTGGTAAAGTGGCCCACTTTGTGTATCTACCTAGATTCCCATCCTCAAATATTGAAAATAAAAATATAGCTTCTTGTTTCTTGACAATATTTTCAGTTCTTCTACTTAGTGGTTCTTGGAATCTTCCATAAAAAAGCCAGCAATATTTCTTGGGGACAAAAGAGAAAAGGTTTAAAAAAGTTATGTGAACACTTTTCAACCACTACAAAAGATTTGAGAACTAGTTCCTTAATCTTCATCCAAACACCTGGCTATTTTTATTGCTTGTTTCTACTTTCTACGGGTAGTTTGTTCAATATATATAAGCTAAGATGAAGGGCCAAAGGGAGTGTGTCTGTTTCACTATTTGAAATACCAGAAGGCCAAAAAAGGATTCAAGATACCCAGTTCCCTTTAGCAACATGAAATATCAGTTCATATTAGTGCTGTTTTTCATGTTATGTGTATTTGGAAATTCAGACACAGAGAAGGACAAAGAAGAATGTACGCAATCATTGATTGGTTTAGCAACATGTTTACCTTATGTTACAGCTAATGCACCAGCTCCTACACCAGATTGCTGCACTGGTTTGAAACAAGTGTTAAAAGCCAGCAAGAAGTGTCTTTGTTTGCTAATCAAGGACAGAAATGATCCTGATTTAGGACTTAATCTCAATGTTACACTTGCTTTAAGCCTACCTTCTGTTTGTCAAGCCCCTGCTAACATTTCTCAATGCCCTGGTAAGTACACTAATAAGAGGATTTTTCATTTTAAATGGATTAAGAAAGAAATATCCAATTTTATCCTTGTACCTTGAACTCCTCCATTCCTTTTTAACAGGGGAAGTAATAGTTTTCAAAATAATTTTTTTTAATTATTTGTTTCTGAAAACTGAAAAAAGTTAATTCTTAACACATTTGTGTGATAATTGACAATTTGGAATGATATGCAGCTCTTCTCCACTTGCCTCCAAATTCACCAGATGCTCAAGTGTTCTATCAAATAGGTAATGGTTCAAGTAGCATTGCTAGCAGCCCGCAAGCAAATAGTCCCACTCCTTCTGGTAAATAATACATCCTTTCACCTTTTTTTTTTTTTTTTTTTTTTTTTTTTTTAATTTTAAATTTAATTTCTATGAACTAACAATGTTAAAAATTGTTATCAAATTATTTTACAAGAAACTACAAGTAAGCACTCGAAAAATGATATTAGTAATCTAGAAATAAGACAGCTTACCTGCTGCAATTAACTAAAGATATATTGATCGTGTAAAACTTTGGAAGGAGCTTTGACAATTTTCCCTTCTTTTTTTTTTTTTTTTTTTTTT